CAAAGTCTCTAAAAAGCATAAACCAATTTTTACTGTAATGACAGAAATAGTTAAAAAAGAAATACTGAATTTAAAAAATTCATAAATCAGTTCTATTAACAAATTGGAAGTAGCATTAGAACAGTTATTTATATGGTTAAATTATCATCTGAAAATATGATTTTATGTGTTTAAAATGTATTACTTTCCATTCAACTGCCTAGGTTTTTCTAGCACGTAATTATCAGTAACTCATTTCTTTAACATATTTTGTTTTGAGCTGAAAACACTAAGATCATGGCATCTGATCTCATCACTTCATGGCAAGTAGATGGGGAAAAAATGGAAATGGTGACACAGTTTATTTTCCTGGGCTCCAAAATCACTGTGGACAGTGACTGCAGCCATGATATTAAAAGATGCTTGCTCCTTGGAAGAAAAGCTGTGAGCAACCTAGACAGCATATTAAAAAGCAAAGACATCACTTAGCCAACAAAGTTCCATATAGTCAAAGATACGGGTGTTTCCAATAGTCATGAATGGATGTGACACTCGGATCATAAAGAAGGCTGACTTCTGAAGAATTGATGCTTTCTAACTGTGGTGCTGGAGAAGACTCTTGGGAGTGCCTTGGACAGCAAGGAGATCAAACCAGTCAATGCTAAAGGAAATCTACCCTGAATATTCATTGGAAGGACTGATGCTGAAGGTCCAACACTTTGGCCACCTGGTTCAAAGAGCCAACTCACTGGAAAAGACCCTGATGCTGGGAAAGATTAAGGACAGGATGAGAAGGGGGTGACAAAGAATGAGATGGTTGGATGACATCATCGACTCAATGGACATGAGTTTGAGCAAGCTCCAGCAGACAATGAAGGACAGGGAAGCCTGCCATTCTGCAGTCCATGGGGTCACAAAGAGTCAGACTCAACTTAGTGACTGAACAATAATTTTGAGCACCAGCCGTTCACTTTCATGCTGACAACCCCATGTGGTAAATAGCACACTCTTCCTGCTCTCATGGAGCTTACAATCCACAAGAAGAATCATTTAAGGTTAAATGGAAAAATGTTAAGATAATTCTGAAATATCCTAAGCCACAATATATTGCTTAAGTGTCAAATAAATGGAATAGATTGTACACATGGCAATCTAAAGCCATGGCAGGCAGGGAATCCTTGTTGAGTTGGAGTTTAAGCTTTATGAGGAAATAAGTATGAAGCTGGTTAATGGAAGATGTATGGCTAGGAGCAGGGGTGTGCTGGTGGGCTGGGGTAGCCTGATTTGCAGCACCTGCGATTTCCGTAAGCACTCCCACCATGGATGACTGGAAGCTACCAACGTGATTCTCTTGAACGTGACGTGGGAGAGTGCTCTGTTGTGCTTAGTTTCTCAGTCGTATCCGACTCTTCGAGACCCCATGGACTGGAGCCAGCCAGGCTCCTCTGTCCACTGGGATTCTCCAGGCAAGAACACTGGAGTGGGTTGCCGTGCCCTTCTCCAGGGGATCTTCCCAACCCAGGGATCGAACCCAGGTGTCCCACATTGAAGGCGGATTCTTTACCATCTGAGCCACCAGGGAAGCCCAAGAGTACTGGAGTGGGGCGGGAGAGAAATGTTCACAACTGGCTCTTGTAAGCCAGTGCAAGCTGATATTGATACCACTGAATACATCAAGTGATAAAGATTCATTCAACAAGTATCTGAAAAGAAGAAAAGGTTGGTGTGGTTTTTGAGGTCTTCCTAAAAAGTAAAATAGCATTTTTGCCTATCTCTTTTCCCTTATCAATCCCCAATTAAAGCACAGTCCTAATTATAAATTGAATACTTCTGAAAGCTACAGAAGGCTGTTTCCTATTAAAGGTGCAATACTGACCTATCACCAGCAATGCCTTTGAGGTGCTTTTCCCAAGGGTGATGGTGGTAGTCTTGCCCTGATCGGTTTACCCCTTCTTTCTCAGTATCTCTTATGAACAGGACACACATTTTGCATCTCTTATTAGCAGGACCATGGGGCCCAGATTAGAAGTGCAGGCTGTGTTCCTAAAACAGATCAAAGTCACACACAATCACAAAATTAGACTGGATTTAAAACTTGGTAGAACTTGGCTAATTTGCTCTCTCTCTCAGCCGTACGTTTGAAGTGTTCAGTGGGGACCCCAAATACTGATCTCATCGCTCAGGAAATGTTAAAATGCCTCTAGTGAATCTGACTTTAATTCACCATGACTGATAAAACAGACGCTTTGAAAACTAAAGGAGTAGCAATTTCCTATGTGAAATCAGGGCTCATAGGAGGATATTCTGCAGCAGCTGCTTTGGATATATATGCGAATCCAAAAAATAACCTAACAGATACTTCTAGCAACTTTCCAAGTGCAAATGCATGGCTGAGGGGTTAAAGAGGCAAGTCATTCATTTGGTTCTAAAAGGATTAGAACAGACTTCATTTTCCTTGCCTCAAACTTTGCCTCCTTTCTTTCCCTTTTATCCCTTTTATTTTCTCCAGCCCATCCCATTGTGGCTACCTCCCCCATTCATGACTCTGATTAACAGACAACCTCTAAGCTTACAAAAACAGCTCTTGAAAGAACTATTCTGTTAGTTGCTGGGATGAGACTGCTCAATGATCTTCAGCAAGAATCAGGAACACCCAAAGCAATCTCTGACCATTTGCTGCAAGGAAAAGTTTGCAACAGTTAGAGATTAAGAATTGCAACCTGGGCCAGACCACAAGGTCACGTACTCCTTGCTTCTCAATTTATAAGATGCCAATACTGCTTCATTTTCAAGAGTTTCTGGGTCTTCAGGGCCAGATTTACATCAGCTGAACAAAGCCTTTAACCTCTATTTGGATCACTTGAACGATTTATTTTTCCCTCCAACACAACAAATATTTATTGAGCATCTCCTCTGGCCAAGTACTAACCTTGATGATTTGGGCACACAAGTGAACAATACAAAGGACACCTACCCACATGGGCTCACTGATTTGGATTTGGATAGGACAGCAGGTTTATATAGGGGACCCGAAAGTAAAACTGAAAGAAAAATTCTAGGATCCTAGACCCGTTGCTGATTCCCTGAATAGTTTACATACATAGTCCTCTCTCTGATGTCCCATTTTCCTTCTAACTTCGAATGATGATCTGACTTTTTACACTAGACTTTCCAAGAAAAGGTGAGGTGAGAGATTGAAAATAAAACACTTAACTTATTGGACAGAAGGAATTGGGAAGTCAAATACTTCAGAAAGACTACTGATTTCTCTGAGAGTAATATAAAGCACACAGCTCATACTGTTTCATAAGAATTACTAGGGCAATAAAGGCCTACTACCAGATAGTCTTCTACTGTCTAGAATTGCTGAGACACCATGATAATAAAGAGTGGACTTTTAGTTGGTTTTATTGTTTTTAGATTTTCTCCAGAGAACACACCTTCCTTTACCTGCACCCTGGGCCACTCTCCCCTCCCCTTGATATACCATAGCTCTTCCGTCAACTATTTTCTTATCTCATCTGTCACATCTTTTTGACCAGCCCTTGTCAAGCCAACTCCTAGTCTGTGAGGATCTTCTGTAGCCATCATACTCTGTCCATCTTCACCAGCCCTTATCTAAACACAAACTTAAATGCTAATTACTCCTTTCTGTACATCTTGTTCCTCCTCAAAGAGGACATAACAAGGACAGGTCTGGGTCCAGCATCCATCACTTGCTGAATGACCTAACCAGTGCACAGTTACTGTTTAGCTGGTGGTAGAAGACAGTGGGGATGGCAATGTACAGACCAATGCCCTCAAAGGCCCTACCCCTCTTGCAGAGGGAGAGCGCATCAGCGCGCAGCCTGACCCAAGCCGTGCTCCCTGCAGATTCAGCTCTGTGTGCCCAGCAATGTCTAATGAGTGCAGGTGGGGCAAAGAGGAAGTTGGGCCGCCAAGTATGATCTGGTAAAAACATTTAAGGAATAAAGGGCAGAATTACTTCTGAGTACAAGGTAAGGACTTGCACCTGGGTCAGAGAGAGAAAAGGAAGAAAGTAAAAGCTTAGTGAGACTTTGGAGCCCAAGTAGTACTGCCCTAAGAACAGTGCAACAAAATTCATCTCCCAAAAGGCTGGGACTCTGCCCATCTTTGCCATGAGCCCCTGTGCGGTCTCCAGACCATGGTAGGAGCATCGTGAGGAAGCAATCTGATGGGGGAAAAACAGCAGTGTTAGGGGCCTGCCAACCAAGTGGGGCCTTGTGGGGTGGCTGAGCCCAGCATGTGTCACCTATTAACGGTAAAGAAAAACCCTAACGTTTACTGAAAACATACCTTATCCCAAACACTAGGCTAATGTAATTTAGGTATGTTATTTATTTACTATTCACAGTCCTTTAAGGTAGCTTGAGGTCTCAGATACAATGCAACAAAACAAAGAAGGTAACAGACTGGATTTGTTTAAGAACACACATGAACACCCCACCCCTACCCCATCCCCAGGAAACATGTTTGTGGGGTGATCACTCAGGTGCTAACTATTGGGGCGAGATTTTCTGCTATTATAATCAAAGCCCATTTGATTTCATTGGTTGGAGAAACCACAGAAAACATGGGTGACAATAAAATAACCATACTGGGTTAAGGAGAAGGTAGATAATCACAAATCACAAACAGTGTAGTCCTAGCTCAAAGAGCCAAAGAGATGGTGCTGTGCAGTGCTGATGTCCCCAGAGCAGAGATATAACTAGGGAGATACTGATTAGCACTGATGGCTGGCAGATTACTGTTCTGGTAAGATCAAAAAGAAGAAAGAGAAGCCTTAGGGGTGTGTATGGGAGGAGAGGGGCAGCTCTCTCCCTCCTCCTCTCTCTACACCACCCCTGGGGAAGGCTAATTAGCCAGTGCCTATTACTAGGCTCCTTAGCTTACAGGTATATGAGTGATTCCCAATCTAAGCTGAACCTCTGAACCACCTGAGGCTTTAAAATACCCTGCCTCGTTGACCCCTCAGGGAGTATGTTTAATTGGGCTGCAGTATGGTGGAAGCGGGGAGGCAGAATTGGGGTTTTTCTAAACTCCTTCAGGTGATTCTTACGTGCAGCTGCCAAGGTGCCAAGTTTGAAAACTGTGGATTAGAGCAAGCCCTGATGGGAGTTAATTGTATCTGATATTTATTGAGCAACTACTATCCCCAGGCACTGCACTGGGCACTTTACATGGATTCTTTCCAGGCCTTAACATCTGACTTGCAGATAGGTGTGCTCATCCCCCTTTGAGAAGTGAGTACACTCAAATCAGTCATAGACAGTCTATCCCATCTGCCTGCCCCCAAACCTCATCCTTTCCTGGTATAACTGCTGCTCTCCTGGAAGGACAGTACCATATTTAAAACACTGAAAAGAGAAGTAGGGAGAGACCAGAGGTGCTCTTATCAAACATTCTTCATGAGAGACTGTAAAGACAAGAACAGGGCTCTCTGATACCTTTTCTGTCAATATCACAAACTGTCCTTGAACTCAGATCTCCTTCCTTGCATCTGTGCTGCATCACCTCTGGAAAGGTTTGCTTCTGAAACTGTTAGTTACTTCATCTTTTTTGTTCTGATGATGGCGCTATGCTAGGTGCTAAGAGATCTACCAAGGAGCTCGAATATGCAGTGCTTGTCTTCAGGAGAGCTCTTGTTGAGTTGAGTGGCAATTCTTAAATGAAACTTCTTTGAAATAGTATTGAGGGGCAAGTATTTGAAGGGCCAGTAAATTGCTCTAGCCCCTAATTATTTAAAATGAGGTCCTCGAGGACTTCCCTCATAGTCCAGTGGTTAAGATTTTGCCTTCCAATGCAATGGGTATGCATTCAACCCCTGGTCTCAAAGCTAAGATCTCACAGCCAGAAAACCAAAACATAAAACAAAAGCAATATTGTAACAAGTTCAATAAAGACTTTATAAATGGTCCACATTAAAAAAAAAAACTTAAAAAATAAAATATGGTCCTCAGATTAGCTGCACCAATATCCTGTGTGAGCTTGTCAGAAATACAGAGTCTGAGGCCCTACCCCAGACCTACTGGTTCACAATCTGTATCTTACACAATCCCCAGGTGATAGAATATTTACACAGTAAAGTTGGAAGCAGTGGTCAGGAGCAATACTGACATTACGTCTGTCCCACTTTGTTGTTTTAGGAACATCTGTTTTATCCTTTTTCCTAAGAATGTCTCTCATACACATTTTTTAAAAAGAGCATAGCTGCAAATCTCCAATTCTTCCTGCCCTTCTTAAAGCACATGAAGCCATGATGAGCAGAGAACTGGGATCTTGTTCATAACTAAGTCTTTTGTCAGGTCTCCTTATATGGCCCCAGGTGCCCTGGCACAGCTGCTGATATTTAGTTACGTTCTGCACCAGCAATTCTAGCATTTGGGAAGTGAAATTCCTTTTTCTCTCTCTGGCTTATGAGAGCCTAGGGCAAAGGAGGTGAAGAAAGGGGAGCTTGAAGGAAATCAGCCTTGGAAGTATCAAGTGTAGCAGAGAGGTCAAACCATTTTCATTTTAGGTCCTGGTGTTTCATTTAGGCCTTGGCAAGCTATCTCTTTAAATGGAGATGTGAGAATTTCTTTACCAAGGCCACAGACAAAGGTTTGTAGTTCTAAAGGGTTCAACATTTGACTCAGAAGTCCTTATACTGAGTTACACCCTAAACAGGGCTTGTGCTCTGCTCCGTGTTTGGAATAACTCTCGAAATGTCAAGAGAAGTCCTCTCAAGCAGGATCTTCAGGCACTGGTAATATTAATTGTTCCATTTAATAAGGGAACTGCAGTCCCACCGATCCTGACATGGATACGATTTTCATTTAGTCAAGTAATAACGTGAATCACGTTCTCAGATCCCAGATGTCTTCTTTCATAAACCCATTCTGTTCCTTGTTTTAGCACTGAGAATAAAAGACCTACTTTTGCTATTGAACAGATTCACAAGCAAAACCTACTCAAAGCAGGGAATGAATTTGCACATATTGGGAAACTCTTTGGAGTTTAAGGATGTGCATGACTTTGAAACTGTATTATTCTTGCAAAGTTGCAGAATTATGCTATATAATGTTTGCATTTGGAAAAATTAATTATGATCCTAAAGTCATGGGTCAGAAATATAATTAAACTGATTAGTGTCATAGGATAAAAATAAAAAGCAAGGCCTGTGACAGCTTCCCACTTTCCCTCCACTCCCCAGAAAGGCTCTTAAAGGAACATTTAAAACACAGCCTTTGTTCCCTCAATCTATGGTGCTCAGGTCAGGTGGACCCTGCAGCGTGGCTGCAATATTTCAAGCAGGCACTCACAAATGTGTCATTTGACCTGCTGTTCTTCCAAAGAGGTAGGAAAAATGTGTTTCTTGCTGAGATAACTTGAAATCAAATAAACATAATCTCTTTAATTCTTTCTAAATAGTTCCATATTTTAAGTCTAAACACAATAAAACACAAAGCTTCTGGCTTTTAAAAAAAGTTTTTCTTTTTTTATATGTGTTGTTGTATTTTTTTCCTCCAGTTTGTGTTTGTTTGATTTTAAGTGTATAATTTACCTTTCAAACTAGTGAATCTATTTCTTTTGGTTGAGAGACACACATAAAAGATGGTAACATTGTTACTTGGCTAAATGAATTTGAGCTCTTTTCTAAGAATGCTATCTATAAGCAAAGACAGACATTCTTATTTATATTAACCATCACTTGACAGATCAGAGAAAAATCTAAACCAAGGCTTGCAACAAATTGAATATTTCCTTATGTAAAATTGGTTCTGGTCCATTGTTTTTATTTATCTGCAATAATGGTACTCACTCGAGTTTGTAATAACACTGTCATGGCTGAAGGGAGTTTGTTTTAGGTATTATATCTATTATCTGCTTCCTCTCCTTTCTTTAAACAGAATCTCCAAGGAGAAAGTCTGCATGTGGCTTGGATTTAAGAAGAAAAAACAAAAGCTTTCCTAAAACCTCACTGGGTAAGGTGTTATTTCAGATTGTTTTACGATTTTGAATAATTTTTATTTGTTTGCCTTTGGTATTGAACATTGGATAAAACAGAACTTGCCCTATTCTCAGAGAATTAGAAGGCTTGGAGTCATTGTAAATGTTCTATTAATTCCCTTAGCTGTTTTGAGGCAAGCCTACATAACCTTTTGCCCAAACAAGGAATGTTTATCTAGCGTGCCCTCGCAGTGGATAAATTCAACAGTGTGGAAGAGTCTGCTGTGCCTCGCCACCACTAGAGTGTGCTCTAGCGCTGTCAGAACGTTTTCTTTAGGAAGTGGGAAAGGTAGATGGATGAACCACCTAGGAAAAAAACCTTTGGCATCTAATTTCACAAGTGTCCTTTTAAGTGTCTTGGTAAGGCTGGATTATGTTCGTGGAGTTAATTAAAGTGGATCTGGAGACTTTACCTTCAATATTAATGCATACTGTTTTGGGTGAGTTCATTTTTTGTATCTGAGTTAGCTTTGTTTAGGTCCAATGGTAAAATTTTTTTCCTGTTCGTCTACAAGCTATGTTTTCAGGCAATAACTCTTTTGATTTATAAAATAACCATCACTACGACCCCAGGGCATGGATGCATAGTGGCAGGGATTTAGGAAGAATTCACACTCTGAGTCTCTGACAGAAGACCCCTCCCCCAGTCCTGGATGCTCTGTTGGTGATGGGAGCACAGTCTCAGTCTCCACTGGGGGCCGCTCATGCTGGAGGGTGATTCTAGCATGTTTTAGCAGCACGTCATTCCCCTTCAGCTCCCCCATTGGAACAGGTTGCTTTCATCTTTACTTCTCCCCCAGAGGAAGTGGCCCCTCAGTCCCCCTTATATCACCATTGATCCCTCTTGCTTTAGGGTCTTTGAACAACCTGAGACCCAACACAACTTCCTTTTTTGGGTATCAGTAGAGTTGCTTCTGCAAAGTCTGCAACAAGGTCCTTGTAGCCCAGAGTTCTGTGACCACAACCTCTGGGGCTCACATTCTCCTTCTGACCAGAGGACAGCTCAGGACCACTTTCACAGCAGTATGTGGCTGGGTGGGCCTGGACAGATGGAGACCCAGTTCAGGTCCTGCTTGGGAGGCCACCCTAAAGCAGACCAGCTCTATAGAGATCACAGCCCAGAGAACTATCTGAGATCTCCCAGTGTGCTAGGCTTCCTTTGCCCCTGGAGAGATCCACGTAGGTGTTTAACCACCCCTGTGCTTCCTCCTATGAATTTCAGATTTGGAATAGACAGTATTCCCACCCCCTTTTCAGCTGGGAGGTGGCAGTGAATGCTCCTTAGTTCTCTAGCACAACAGAGTAATAGAGAAGTAGCTTGGAAGGTTTCAGGCCCCCTTTCCCCTGCAATAAATGTTACCAAGCAAGGGCTCACTACAAGAACCTCACAGAAGCCAGTAATATGGCACTTCTTTGAGAAGGCCGTTTCAGAGCCACCCCAAATAGAGACTTCTAGGGTGATCCAGTGGCTAAGACTCTGTGATCTCAATGCAGGGGCCCCGTGTTGGATCTCTGGTCAGGGAACTAGATCCCACATGCCACAACGAAAATTGAAGATCCCGCATGCCACAGCTAAGATCCAGCACAGCCAAATTAAAAAAAAAAAAAAATTTTTTTTTAAAAAGAGCCACCCTAAATAAAAGTAGAATCTAAATAAAGGTGGTGCACTTGCTATATCAGTAGAGTTTTAAGCCAAGTTATATAAAGAGCAGCCTTTCCAGCTTCTAAGCAAAGTCCCATCAACGTAGACACCAATGAGCCATCTTTCTTCCAATGCAACTCTGAATGGTTGGTCCTTCATATTCCTCTTCCAGAAACCTGGGGCATCCAGCCCTTGTGGTCTCTAAACCTCAAGGGGCACCACCTGTCCTACTCCTGACCCCGAGATTCTATCAGGGCCAGGAGCCCCTCAAATACCTCACTGGCTTCTGACACACATGAGAATGGTTTGTGTGACAGCAAAGGCCCCCGGCAGGTCCTGCTTTTTCTCTTGCTCTCAGAGTTCTTCAGCCTTGTATTCCTATGACTTGCGCTCCTTGGGCAGGAAAAATGAACACAAACTTCACCATGTGATGCTGTGTAGG